GCTGATTACTTTGCCAACATTGTCTAAGGCTGCTCCTGGGTGAGAGGTTCCTTTCCTGTGGTACCTCTTGGGTTGTGCCACAGGATTGCAATCTTCTGCTTCCCTTTTTGTTTAAAATATTTAAAGTAGAGCAGCTTTGTTTTCATAAGCTGATGCCTTTAAATACCTTGGGGCTTGGTCCTCATGGAAGGGGAGCACTTAAAAAATAACCACGCCTAGTTCTCTGAGTGGTCATTACAGAAATTGTGTGTCTGTGTTTTGTGTGTTTTAACAGAGGAAAGCCAAGAAGGGAGGCTGTGTCCTCCCAGTATCCAATTTTGTAGGCACCTAGGTCCTAATATTATTTATATAAATCTGTTCCCAGGGTTGGCCAGCACTGTAAATATCAAAAGGGACAGAGTCTAACTCCCTCCATTAAAGTCCAGTGTGCAGCTTTCTGAGCCGGTTAATTTTAATTGATGTAACATCTCTATCCTACAGCTTGTCCTTTTATTAGTTAACACCCCATGAAATTCTTATGTCTTTACAATTCTTGTGTCTTTATTCCTCTTCTTCAGTGTTCTGATGAATGTTAAAATGGTTAAAAATTGTTAGTGCTTAAAGCATCAACAGTGGCAGCTGAGACATCAGTTTGCTCTTAGCAAAAATTTGTGTCAGCCTTCCTTTTAATCCATGCAGTTATCCTCATAAGGCTTAATCTGATGACATTTGTAAAGGCTTTTTGTTGCATTGTAAAAAACCTTGTTAAACTTACAAAATCAGGGGTTTGGCTGCAAAGAGGAGTTGGCTCAACCTGAAAACACAGGATTTCCAGTAAATGCCATGGTTATGTATTAAATGAAGCCATGAAGATACAGGTGTACATTTTAGTCCCCTGCTCTTCTTTTCAACAACTCCATGCAATTTGGCTGGTTTCACCCATGAATAATTAAAGAGGTGTATCTCCAGCTGTTCCTTTTAACTTCAGGGATCTGGGATACGATTCCACAGTCCCACTCTGGGCATGTGTGCACACATAAATGCACACACACACCTGTTTTACAGGGCCTGAAAAGCCACAAAAACCTGCTGGTTAAAGAAATAAGTGTCAGTTACTACAGCTGCTCTCCCTGGAGTCTCCTGACACGGAATTATATGTTTTGGGATACATGTTGGGTTTGTATTCTTTTTTTTAGTTTTATTTGGGGTGTTCTATTTTTAAAGTCTATCAGTCAGTCCTCACCCCGCAGGAATGAAACAAGAGTCTCATCATGACAAAAGAGCTGAGAATTTGGGGTCATCTGCTTTGACATGCACCTGGACTCAGCCTCCCTGCAAAATTGGATCTTTTATCTACTTTGACAAATGATTTCTTATTTTCTGTGTAGCAAGAGTCTTTTACCAATGTGAACAGTTTGGCAAACTAACTTCTCCACTTGAGGGACTTTAATGAAGGCAGAGAATGTAAATATTCCTGGCATTTAATCAGAATACAGACATTTATTGTGTGAGGGCCTTCACGGGGGAGGGTTTTGGTCACAAATGAATATTTTTGCAATATATGGCATTTTGTTCATGGTAGTCAACACTTGCTGTTGCAGTGCCTCGGGGACAAAGGCAGTCTTTCCAAATATTAAATTGCCTAATTATTTTTCCCATCATTTTTTATTATACCAATTCAGATGCAAATGAATAGGATTTTTTTCTCAAGTTGCTGGCCCTAAATAACCATGAATTTGCACTGTAATAAAAAAGTTGTGTATCTTCTGAATGAATTTGGAAGCTCTGTAGTTTTGATTCACTGTTGCTGAATACAGGCCACCTGTTAATGGCATACACAGCCCTGCTGACTTGCATAAAGTCATTTAATGGCAGTAAATCTTGCAGGATGCCACTGGTTTTTGTTTAACAGAGCATGGGGAGGGTTATTTTCTTAGATGTGCAAAATATTACTTCATGTTTAGTGTTTATCCAGTACCTACTGGCAGGCAGGTACCAATTCACAGAAACCCCAAAGTTAAATTAAGTCATTCCATTAAGTTCCTTCCATTAACTAATTAAGTTCATTTTGGAGAGTTTGGGGTTTTTTTTCTGATAAGAGGGGTCTATGCAAGATCTTCATAAACACTGTAATACACTTTTGGAAGTGAACATGGAGGGTTAGCACATCTGTCCCTTTTTCACTCTTTTTGCAGCAAGGCAGGAACTTAAAGAAATAATTTGCATATTTTAGCAAATGTGCCATAAGCTTTTGGGACTTTGAGACCCATTTTAAATCTTTACTGCTGATGAATGACCCCTGTAACTTCCTAAGACATCAGATTTCATAGAGTGACAGCATTAGTGCTTCTAGGGGTCCAGAGATCTTAATCTGTAGTGCCAAAGGGAAAATGAGGGCCTTTACCATTAGCTGGTTTTAACCATTATCCTTAAATAGTTTGTCTTTGTAACATGTTCCCAAATTTAGCAAAATGATCATTGCAGCAATTTCACACAAATAAGTATTTTAGGCAATAGTTTGATATGGTTAAATATCTTTATCCTGGACAATTTCTCTCTGACTTTGTCTATTTTTTGACTTGACTCCTTACCTGGAAGAATTTGATTTGCTTTGAAAGTATGTGGAATACTACTATTTTGTTGTGTTTTTTTTTTTTCTTTAACTGCAGAAATTCAGAAAGGAGATAATAAGGTTGCTTGGCCATTAGATCAACTGTTTTCTGTGGAATAGACACAAAATACTACAGTTTAGCACAAAAAGTCAAGTAATGGAGATCAGTTTACTTTTCAGTCAGATTGGAGCTTGCCCACACTAATAGCTCAGTACAAAGATAAAGCTAATGGGAGTTCTCCCTAAAACTATTATATGGAATTATTCAAAATTATAAATTATGACTTTTGCAGAGTGCTGATTGGAAAGTATTTCAGATGAAAATCAGTCAGGGATATTCCTGATGTTTCCTGAGCTTACAGTACTTCTCCAGAAGAAAGAGCTGCATGCTCCCTGGATTCCTGTCAGGCATTTTAAGTGGTTTGCTGAAGAGCAACCAACAGAGTTGTCTGAGGGTGTTAAACACCTTCCCTGGAACCCACTGAAGGAGAGTGACCACAGGGCTACAGAAGGGAGGAGGGAAAAGAATGACCCCAGTGTCCTTCCTGCCCCATCATGTGTTTGTTCCCTACAGCACTGAGGGAACAACTCCAGTTCATAATGATTAGGTCTGTCTAACTTTTCAAAAAAGATAAATTGAACTGTTACTACTGAGGAAGGCTTTGTGACTCTGGGGAAATAGGAATGGCAGCGAGTTCCTGATGGGAGCTCTTATCCTGGATGGATAATCTGTGTAATTGCTGCCTTTTGCTTTGTCCTGCCTGAATCCTGCCTGCTACGTGTGCTGGATTTGCCCCTGTGCTCTTGTGCAGCCTTTCCTCTGGATTCTCTGCCTTGTCTGCACCAGGGATTCTTCTCCTCTGCCCTTGCTTATTTGGGATTTTCACCTTGCAGATTTTCACCTTGCAGATTTACTGGCATAACCCCGTGTCTGAACTGACCAAAGGAGCCAACAGAAGCACTTGCCAAAAGGCGGTTTTGCTCTTCCCTGGCTGCCTCAGCCTGTTTTCCTTTCCAGAAACGATCAGGGGCATGTGATCTTGATTCAGAGAAGGATTTGTTCCATCTCACTTCTGTGATTCAGGCATTTGGGAGGAAAGGGAAAGACAGAATATGATCCTTGAGGAAGATATCCCCATGGACGTGTCAGACTCGAGTTTGGCTAGTGAGGAATTAGCCTCGCCAGGCTGAGAAAAACATCATCCATCTCAAATCACAGGCCTTTCTTGGTCAGAAGGGATGGAGCCATGGTTCTGTGGGACCCTGAACCAAGAACCCTCTTCTAGAAAAGGATGTGACAAAGCAAAAGCACCTTCTGCTTCAGAAAACCCCTTCACACGGTGCCATCCTGGGCTGCTTAGTAACAGGTGGCCCTATTCAAGACAAAATTCGTCCTCTTGGCTCTAGTTTTGTTATTCAAGCTCAAGCTAAGACTCTCTGGGTTTAAAACCAAAGTTTCGTTTCTGAATTTTAGCATGTAGCACTTTGATTCAATTGGCTAAAGCCCTTTCAAAAATCTGGGTTGTTTTGCCCACTTTGGAGGTGGGCAAACAGTGGGGAGCAAATACTCTGCGTCACCAGAAGTATTTGGTAGTTCTCACTATCCATACCTGATATGGGAAATCAGATATCATGTTCCATTCTGCCTGTGTGACTAGAATGCTGTTAGTGAGCAGTGGGGTTTTTTGGGGGGGGAAGAATGGTGGCTTGCACTTCACAAAAACATCGACTAATCTAGACTACAGAACCAGCCAAAACCACAAATTCTGATTTAGACCTACTTGGCTCCTCTGAATCATCACGAGCTCTGGGCACTGAGTCAGGCAAGAGCTGGTTTTCTCCTCAGTATTGTGTAAACACAAGATGTTTCCCTGGGCTAAATATTATTAAGTTAAAAAGTCATGTTTATTTGATCATATTTTTTAAAAAATGTCATGTATTGTATAAAAAAAAGATTAATACATGGAGTTACCATCTGGGGAGATCTGGAAATCCTTTTCTTTTACACTTTGTTCATCAGATCAGTTTTGAACACAGATCAGTTTTAGATTAACCTGATTTTTTTATTTGGTTCTATAAGTGATACTTATTTGAATCAAACTACTGACAAAGCTTCCTGTATCAGCTTTGGAAATTGCAATTTCATTTAAAGTAATTAAGAAAAACTGCAGGACTTAATTCACAGTTGTACCACGATGTGATGTGAATTCTTAAAATTCAAAAATGAAGCCTGCAGCTGACTAGGCCATTTTCAGGGAAAACTTTAGATCTGGGCACACAGCTGTATGGAAACATGACATGGGGCTGTAGCAGAATTATAATCCTCTTTTCCCTCTCAAAATCAACCACAGGCATCAAAGACATGAAAAAGGTGACTGGTGTTTATCTTTTCTCCCCTCCTTTTCCACAGTGCGGCTCCATGACAGCATATCAGAAGAAGGATTCCATTACTTAGTCTTTGACTTGTAAGTATGTGTTTTGCCTATTTTTAGCAAGTTTGGGGATGTGGTATTTAAACTTGGAGGTGCAAAGACAAGTTTTGCATCTCAAGTAGCGTGGTCCTGGTGCAATGAGTTGGACAAATAGCTAAACAGCTAAAAAGACAGTAACATTTGGTTATTTGCATGTGCAAGAACTCATTTGTATGTCCCTGTAAGGGTTCTGTATTACAAACTATTAAAAAATGTACCCTTGAAGTGGATTTCAATGTAAAATGTAGGTATGTAAGTAAAAGTTGCATGATACCTGCCAAAGCTAAGCACACTACCACTCAGAAAATAGAATTTGCTGCAAGCCAGTTGTCTGTAAAAGAAACATTAAAAAACCCCAGAGCAATATATGATTTATCAGATAAAACCACCTGTCTTAGGTGGCTCTCTTAGGCCTGCCATGGTTTTGCTGGTTAGAATGAGAATACATTTTTACCCCAGAAATGTGAAATAGCTCGTTTCTAAGCATACAGACAGAATTATTTGCATTCAGCATGGCTGAGTGAGAACCTGGATCTTCCACAAGAAATTGTGTGCTTTCATGTTCAGGTTACATTCTGGTTTATTTTCTCACTTAATTGTTTTGGGAGAAATCTGTGAAGACTTCTCTGAGGCTAGATTTCAGACTAGAAATACACAACATTGCAATGCAAAATACTCAATAGTCTGTCTGCAGTGAATGCATTCAGGGTTCAAATCCTAACAGGAGTTTATATCTGACTTATGTGTATCCCAGGTAAGTGCTGTGACTGTTGCCTGGGAAATGGCTCCAGGGCACAACACACACACACTTGTTCTCTGACACCAACTGGGGTTTGTCGTGCTTTTTTTTTTTTCCTTAAGGGCTACAAAGGAAATCTTTCTATGTGGAATTGGAAAAATCTCCTTAGTCCTGAACATTTCTAAGAAGTGCATGCAGAATTCTTAGTTCTAGGGACAATATCCCTTTGATAAACTGGTGGCTTTTTAATGTTCTTGCTGTACTGCTCCAAACTGTGGCCCACTGCAATTGCAGTTAGTCCACGTCTGCCTTAACTTGGTGTGTAGTGCCAGACTTATCTCAGGGGATTGTGACTGCCATGTGAACTAGAACATTTGAACAACTTCAGAGTTGTAGATACCAGTATCTATATCTTGATAGTAACAGAACAAATAGGAGCCTGTATTCTGCAATAAAAAATTAATACCTAACCCAAAGATACTGTCTTGGCAGAAAACTAGATCCAGCAGGAAGCATTCTGGAACTGCCTGGAACTTCCTTTGTTTCCCTGTCAGGACAAACATAGGAACAGGCTCAAACATGAATATAAAGCCTTTATGTTTTGTTTGTGGTTTTATGGGCAAAATTATTTCTTTTAAAACAAAGAAAACATCTAAATGGTAAAGGCAGTAACTTTGCAGACTGATCGTTGTCTTTGGAGAAGCAACAGGTTGCATTCCTGAAGAACTTTTGCCAAATGACAAAAAATACCTGTTCACAGCTCATTTTTCACATTCAGACTAAGAAATCATTGCTTTAATGCTCACTAGTACTGTTTATTAGTAAGACTCGATCTTTTAGTGCAGTTACAAATATGTGGGTTGGTGCCTTGTTGAAGTGTACATAAAAGAGCTACCACGATAAAAAGGTAACATTTGCACTTTTTGAACGTGAAGGCCCAGTACCTGCTTTTCTTTCTTTAATTTTTATTCCACAGGAGCCTGGCTGTGGTGTAACACTGTCACTCCACCCACACGTGCCACCATGGCATTTTCTTAATGATTTCTTTCAGAAAGAAATGTGTGGGATTCAGTGCCACTGTTTCTTTAGAAATTTCTCTAAGACTGCATCCCACGTAAGAAAGTAGAGAAGAAGACTGCCTTTTCTGTGGATAGAAAAAAAACAGTTATTGTCACCTTCTGTTTTGAATTTCTAATAATCTCTTTGGGATAAGTGCCACAGAGGTGTCTGCACTCTGAAAGAAAGGCCTGTTGCTTCACTTGTGTACCTCAGGGATTGCTGTACTTTTATCTGGAGAAAAAACAGCGTTTAAGGTGTTCTGTTCCGGGCCTGCATTTGTGTGAACAGTTGTAGCATCAAGTGGGAAGGTGGAATTCTCTTAAAATCCACGTAGGAAATGGACATTGGACAATGAACTTCATGGATTTAATGATGGACTTCGTGAAGTTTTTACTCCTCTTCCCTCACTGGTCAAGGCACCTGCAGTCAGGATTTACGTCTGTCAGCCCATTTCGGTTGCAAAGCACGAGTGAGACTGTCTTCAGCCTTAATGATATTAGATGAGTTCAAATCCAATCAATTCTGTCAGTATTAATTGCTGGATCTGAATGGAAACAGCTGTAGCACTTGAAGACTCTCTTGTGCAAGTCAATGAGATCCTCTGTGTTCAGTGTCTCACATTTTAATGCACTTGATGAAATGCAACAGTTGGTACATTAAGAATCCTGGCATTGCTTTTGGATTCCAAGTGGAGGGCCTGGACCATGTAGAATAAACAAAAAATACAAAAAAAAATAGCCTAATTGCAAAACAGTGTTTGCCTTGGGTAAGTGCCTGAACATCTCTTTTTCAGAAGTAGAAAGGCCACAGGTAAATGTAAAAATTCTGTGGTCACCATAGTTTTGTAAGTTTGCTTCTTTGCACCTTAAAGCAATTCAAGAAATCAGAAACGTAAGCTAGGAGGAAACCATGCCAGTGTGGTCATCAGCAGAGCCTGTTTTAGCTGTCTTTGCTAATTTGTGTGTTCCTTTTAATTATTCTCTTCTATTTGTAACTATGAAACGCTGCAGTTTTTCCAGAAGACATGCCTGGTGCCTTGGTGTTGCTGCAGGTTGCTTGTACCTCTTCTGTTTAAACAAACCCACGTGGTTTAGATGTTGCCACTTCAGTCTGCTCTTCAGAAAAATCACAAAAGAACCTTTGGAATTTGTGAGAACCAGTGGCTTTTAGTTTGTACCCTGAAAGTTCCTAGAGCTCATATCAGGAATGTCCTGTCATGAAATACAACCTCACTGGAGGCAACAATATACATATGGAAATTCCACAACCTCTTTGAGCAACAAGTGCTTAGTAATAAATAAGTATAGTAACAACCAAGGAGGAAAAGTGCATTAGTGACAATCCATTATTCCTTTCCTCCTTCTGGCCATTTAGCTCTTCTGAGAGTTATTCCTAAAGTATCCTTTGGATACAGAGCACGAGAATTGTTGACTGCTTGTTTGATTGTCACAGTACAATTCAACTGCTCTGTTCTTGCTTTTAGCTTTTCCTCATTTAACAATGGTTCTGAATACCAAGCAAATGTTTAGTGTCAGCAAGTGGGATTTCATATCCCCTTTTTTCCTCCGTGCTACAGAAAAACAAGCGTCAATTTGAGATTCTCTCCCACTGAAAGGCACTTTGATGACTAAAGCTTTTTGTTTTCTCTTTTGCCTTGGATCAAAAATAAGTGTTTTAGGAAAGAGTAAGATCAAAGGATGCTTTGTTTTTTTCATTCATCGAGAATTGAGAATTATTCCTCTTTACCAGAACCGTGGCAGACAAATATATATGCAAAAAGGAGATATGAGAGACTGTCAAAATATGCATCAATCAAACATTTTGTGTTACAGCAACCAAAGCCAGTTTCTGGAAGGTAGAAGACAAAAAGAAAGAGAATACAAATTAGGCGACGAGGTATTTTACCTCCTCCAGATTTTACTGCAGGCTTTTGTACTAAGTAGTGTTCTGGTCTCTACCTTCAGAGTCAGTAGGGTGTAAAGTCAGAAAAAGGATGGTATAACCCACATATAACTGAAAACATGGAAATAAAGTTTTCAAACTGGCCTTCTCAAAGAAAGGAGCAATGCTGTTGGTTGAGCAGGTCCTTTCTGTCATCATCTAACGTGACTGAAAGCTGGGATCCTCCTCGAAGTGTTAGTGCAGCAGTTTGCAAATGAATGTTACAGTTGTGAAGGTTCCAAGAATGCTTACTTTTAACTTTCTAATACTATTAAATTTAATTGTGTTCAGTAGTAATTGTGTTCATCATAGTACAGATTTTTAAACATCTTAAAGTATCTTGTAGCCCACTCAAGCTTTTACTTTTGGGAATGTATTGAGAATATAATGTGCTAATATCTGCATTCCTAACCAGTAATGAAATACAAACATAGATCTCACCTAGGAATTATTTTGGTTCAGTAGATGAAGGTTTTGGAAAGCAGGAATTGCAGGAGTTTGTGCACCCAGTGTGGTGAGGCTGTGTGCAGGTGCTGTGGGAATTGTCAAGGTTTACATCTATTTTCGGCTGCTCATTACAGCACTGATATATATGAAGAATTGCATTGGACTGTGAAAGTATGCCAGCATATTCCATGGAAGAGAAATGTCACGGGAGGGGGCTTCCTGTTCCATGAGTCCGCTCTTGTCCACACAGGCAGACAAGTTTTATGATTTTATTTAAAAGCTCATTGATCTTCATCTTAAAAATAGAGCACTAAAACCTGTTTAATTACACCAACTTTATGACTGATAGAAAACTCCTGATTTTAACCTTATTTTTACTCATAGATGTTGCACATTTATGTATTATTGTACCAGAATCGTCCCTTACAACTCTCCTCTATGACGAGCCTGGTTTATGCTCATCTTCAGTATTTATTTTCTATAACAACACAGTTTTATTTCCTTTTAATCACTTCCTACCATTAAAGCACTGGTGGTACAACGAAATCCTGAGTATGCAACGATGCACAGTTGCTTCTGCTAGTGATCCTTGGATCATACAGCTCTTCCCTCATCCTGTTAATGCCTCTTAAGTTATTTTAAGTGACACTTTGACTAAACTATTCCTACTTTCTGGACAAAGATAACTGAATATTTTCTAGGAAAAAAATCTGCCATTAAATTGTTTAAGGAACTCTGCTTCTACTGATACTTTCCCTCCAACTCAGCAATCCTCTTTCTAGTCAAAGCACAAAAAGATGGCCCTTCTGGCACCTGAGTACACCTCTGTTGAGTTTTGACCTACACTGAGTTCCTGCACCTCTTGCATTTCTGTCCAAATATTTTGGTTATTCCTCTCTGACTTCTCCCTGTCAAGTTAATTTTCATTCATGAAATCTCCTTTTTCCCATCTTGCTTTTTGTAACAGAGTCACTGGAGGTGAATTGTTTGAAGATATAGTTGCAAGAGAATATTATAGTGAAGCAGATGCCAGGTAAGTCATTTGTTTTTCTTATGTTGCCTTTGATAGTTCTAGGATAGTTCCTTAAATATCTCCTGGTGTTTGGCATCAGTTTCCCTAGCACAGTCTGGGAGACTCTAGGATTTCCCCTGGAGTTCTCCTAGACTTGGAAGGGCACAGTTTGGCATTTTGAGCTCACGACTGCAGGATGGAGAACTCACATGAAGTCTTGGTGTCTGCGGATCTGAAAAAGCCAAAATTGCACCTCAGTTTGTTAAAATCTTTGCAAATTGGTGAAGTTGTTAAAACATTACCCTCTTTTCTCCTCTGCAAACTGGACATACCAGTTCAGTTATCTCACCCATGGATTCTTACATTTGCTGATCCGAGTTCGAAATACAAGAATTTTACATGAAATATCATTTTTTGTTCCCAGTCCAGAAGCACTGATTTCCTTTTCCCACTTAAACATTTTTGTTGTGTTTCATCAATAAGCAATTATACTGTGCATCTCATAGTCTGAGCTCAAATATGAAATCTCTAGCAATTTTCTGCAAGTGCTTGTTGAAAAACTTGAAGAATAAGTTGACAATTATCATAATTTCCATGCTAACATAAAGTATCAGGGCCACTTTTCCATCTCAGAATCTGTTTGCCCTCATATAAGAATAAATCTTAAATATTCCCATGTAATTATGAATCTTCCACGTTGTGGTCAATTACTTCAATATAGGTTCTACCACTACACTCTTCACAGAAACTAATCTCAAAGTAAATTTAAACAATCCTCACGTCTTGATGTGGTTTTAGTCACACACCACCACTGATACTTATTTAGCTCACATAATTTTAAATGATGCCTTTACATTTGGAATTATTTGGCAGATGACAGGAAAGGATTAAGTGTTCCTAACAACAGTGGCAGGATAATGATGAGCAGACAAGAAGTTATTCTGAACATTAGGAAGCTTTCCCTGGTTTTGCCCATCTGTAAGAATGGTAGAAACATCATTGCTTCAAGCATTTAAATGTAGAACAACACATAGCTGTAGAACAGAAAACAGGTGGTTTAGGTGGGGTCGAAGGAGAGGAGCTATGTTAAAAAAATTTCAAATTATTTTTTCCTGCTATGATTCAAGCAAAAATTCTAATATTGATGCCAAAGGCCAGTCTGTGGTGTCCTTGTGTGATTTTAAGGTACTTGGGATTTAAAAGGAAAAATTGCAATGATGATTTTTTCTGTTGTAGAATTATGACATATTGGAAGGGGCTGGGCATATATATATATATATATATGATATATATATATATGTGAATTTTATATATGCAGTTAAAACTTGACCAAATAAGTGAAATATCTAGTTATGATGCATCTCTGTATTTTATATATATATATATATATATATATGTTTGTATGTGTATATATATATATATATCTGTAGTGTGTATGTATGTGTGTAACCCTATAGAAGTAGTGAATGTCCTATCCTAGGCTGTAACACTGGTCTGCTCCTGCAAGCCCTTCCTCACACCAGTAGTCAGTACTCACACAAACAGCCCAGGTCAGTGAGTTGGGAACTACTTGCCTAAGGAAGGGTTTTCAGGCTTGGGCTCCAGTTACTGATTTATGACCATTCCTTCTGAATTCCATGGTCAAAACGTTTTGGATGAGCAGTATCAAATCCTCGGCTCTTGACTGTTATGGATCACTTATCATCACTCACTTGTGCCACAAGGATATCTTAAAAAAAAAAAAAATTATAAGCTCTTGTGGTGCCAAAAAAAAAAACATGTGCAAAAGTTCCAGTGCTCGCAGAGATGAATATTTTAGTTGTGCTTTTTGGCACCGTTGGCTGGCCAAAACTTGCAAACCTGGGCATGGAAAAATAGGTGCTAGTTAAATTATTGAAAGCACCAAATGCAAACATTTGTCTAAATTCTTAATGTGGATTTTCATTTCACAAGTGACTCCTAACTGAACTAAAGCTTGACACTATTTTAAATGAAAATGCATGCCACCATTTTGAATGACTTGGCTTTATTCTACTAATAGTTATAAAGAAACCATTCTATTCAAAATGGAAAATGTTTTGCTTTTCCTTAGCTTTTGACTTTTTTTTGTTTCATTTGTTTTCTGTATATCATCTCATTTCTGAGCATTTTCTTGTTTCAGCACTTGTTGTAATATTAACTTCACCACAAAAAAAATTAAGAAAACCAAAATATGCCACTAATTGTTTTATTGCCTCCACTTTATTTTGCCTGTAGCAGTTTTTGGAAACTGGAAAAAGCTTCCATACTGCTGAATGAAAATACAGTCTAATGATTCTGTCTCGTAGGTGTCATATGTTCCATGTCAAATGTCTTTTTTGGTTTGGTTTTGGTTTTTTGTTTGGCTTTGTTTTTTGGATGTGTTGGAGCTGGAAATATCCAGTTCAAAGTGCAATCAAGACTTGTCAAGAGGTGTAAAATTGTTTTTGTTCTTTACCTTTTTTTATTTTGTTTTATTTTAGTTTGTATTTAATGTGATTATGTGCCTTTAAAATGTTCTCCCTTCCATTCTGCCCTTGTATCTTTGCAGTCATTGTATACAGCAGATTCTAGAAAGTGTTAATCATTGTCATCTAAATGGCATAGTTCACAGAGACCTGAAGGTCAGTATCTGGTGCCCATCAATTGGATATAAGAATTTTGGGGTTTTCTTTCCGCTGGGCAGGGGCAGAGGGTGGGTTGTCTGCGATATTCCCTTGCCTACCCTTCTCACCCTCCGAACAACCGGTCCAACAAATACTGCATGACGCCTCTCTCCAGTTTGCAAGTCTACAGGCCTAATATACATCATGGCAAAAGGGGGAATGGTTGCCCAAAAAAAGAACACCCGTGTCGTTCCAAGGCGCTGGATTTCCCCCGTGCTGTCCGCCGTGGCCGGTGCTGTGTTGGGGCTGTCCATGTGTGGCTGTGTGGGCACACGGAGGTGAACCTTGGCTGTGATGTATGTCAGCTTGCAGATGTAAACGCCACCGCTGTGCTGAGGCCCTGGGGTGCAGTAGCAGAACAACAGGGCATGACGAGCCCTCAGGCGAGTGACGCTAATTGCCGCCTAAATTGGACGGCGACAAGTTAATCATTGACCTCAAACACCTGCCTTGAAGGGGGGAGTTTGGGTTTACCTCAACGCCCGCTGCAGTTTCTAACCCTTCCTACAATTTTTTAACGCCTCTGCCAAGGCTCTCATTATGAGTCAGGAAGGAGGAAAAAGCACGACCTTGTCAATGAATTAGTGGCAAAATTTTTTTCTCTCTAAAAAATGGTCGTTAAACTACAAATCGGTAGTAAATTAAAAATCTGTATCGAATTAAAACCAGACCCAAGGCCGGTGTCTCCAAGGCCGGTGTCTCCTCGCTGCCACCCCCCCCACGTGGAGCCTGAGGCCGTCGTGCTCTGGGCGGGGCCGGGCGGGGCTGGGCGGTGTGGGGCAGGGAGCACGGCCACGCCCGGCCCCGCCCGACCTCGCCCTGGCACCGCCGCCCTCGTGTCCGTGCGGGCGGCGGGCGCGCGCTGGGAACTAACGGGCGCCCCTGGCGTTTGCATGCAGTCATTGCATTCAGCAGATCCTGGAGGCCGTGCTGCACTGCCATCAGCTGGGCGTGGTCCATCGCGACCTCAAGGTGAGTGCTGCTGCCCCGCCGCCCGCCCCGGAGCAGCGTCCCTTCCTGACAGGGCCTCCAGCAGCCGGAGCGCAGACGCTTCCCTCTTCTTCCTTTTGCCCTTTGGTTGGTTTGTTTCTAACTCGGCTTCCCGTGCGCGCTCACCGGAGGAATTGTGCCTGTACGGCACCTCTTGGCAGCGCCGGGGAGAACAGGAGGTGCTGGGCAAGCGTTGGGTGTATTCGGTGAACACACGGTCTTCCTCTGTGCCATCCAGAGCTTGTGGGGCAGGGCATGGCGGGAGTTCTCCATCTCTCATCAGCATAACTTGGAGTGCTTCTGGGAAGCACAGTAGCCTTTACGTGTCACGCATCTTAGTGACGGAAGGCCGGCTGCTCTGGGACCGCTGGCACGAGGACCTCTCTCTCCTCCAGATGGTGGCTGGGCTACAGAACGTCTTTAGAGCGCGGGAGTTTCTGCAGTGTTCTCACCACAGTCACCCAAGGAGTCCAACTCCTTCCAGACAAACTCTAGCGTTGGGATAGAAACTTCAGAAAGGGAACTCTTGTGTTGAGAAGAGCATTCCCTCTTTTTTGTTCGTGTACTTGCCCAGATGGCTGGGGACATCTGCTGCAGGAATACTCTCTGCATTTAAACCGTGCTGGCATGGAAAAAAGCAAGTTGAGATCATTTTCTTTTACTGTGAGACTCAGAGAGACAAGGCTGTCCCAGAGCTGGTAGTAAGCTCTCCTTGTGGATAAGGGAAAGGGCTTAAGTTGGGTACTTGGGCTTCACAATCCTCAAGGGAAAGAAGATTGTTTATTTTGGAATCAAACAGAAGTGCACTGTCTGAACTATCAGAAGGCAGAGAAAATGTGGCGTGTGGGCTAAGGCAGCAGAACACACTAATCCCTTCTGGCACAGCTTCTTGGGCTCTTGTTTTCTTTTCTTGAATGAGTTATAGGGAGCAGGGATTTCCTCCTAGGAGAGGAGTTTTCTAGTGGTTATCATTAGTAATAATGTTGGAATCAGAAAGCCGTCGTCTTCCTTGCCATCCCTCACTCCCAAATAAACAACCCTTATTACCTGAATGTATAAAGTCTCTGCTGTTGTCCTACGGGAACATAAAGGGTTATACTCCCTTTAAATGAAAGGATTTCAAATTTGTCCAGCTGCTCCAGTGATTCCTGTCCTCACCATACAGGCAGTACTATGCTTCCAGCATCAGAAGGAATTTAAAAAGCAGGATTGTAGCCATGCAAGCTGACAGAATAAGGAACGTTTTCTAGTACTTTTCATACATTCACACAAAACAACTTTTTCTTTGGAAATGCATGAAATCCAGCTGTTCCCTGCTCCAGACCATGTGTGGATTTTTTATTCTGTCAAATCCAGGATGAACTGAAAAAACAGTGAGAAAAAGTGTTTCTGCCAAGCTGTGGTGCCCGGTTTCATTTCTGAAAGTGAAAACTTGAGGAAGAAGAAAACCATCCTTCTTCAGTTACTACTTTGTGGCAAAAGCCAAAAAACCCAAAGACTGAAATGACAGACTGTGGTGAAATCCCAGCAGAACTCCGTGTGCCGAAGAGAAGATGCCAAGGCCCAAGACCAGAACTGCAAGACATGTAGAAGGTGGTTGTGGGCTGGCATGGATCCTCAAACCGCAAAATTTGATGGATTTTTTTTTCAATAACTCGGTCCACAATTTGATGGCATATTTGGGGGTGTGGAGGGCAACAAGATGAGATTTTGGATTATCTCCTTTTATTTAACTTCTATTGTAGTTTAGTAGCAAGTGGAGAGGAGCTTTTGCAGCCCTTTATGAGCTGCAGAAATGCTCGTTGCTGCTCTGTTTGTAATCAGCGGTGTAAGTCAGAATGGTGGTGGATCCTAGATCCAGAAAAAAAACAACCTGTCTTTAACAGCCAGTAAAAAGTGTGTTTCCAGGTAGGAATTCCAGTTCTTGTCAGGCAACAGCTTCGCTGCTTTCGTGAGACTCTGTGATTACAGCCCTCTTGCCCTCCCCCAAAAAGCGGCTGCTCTGGTTACATTCAAGGACAAACACACAGAGCCATAAGTACTTGATGTCTTAAGGATTAAAGACCTTTGGAAAAACACGGCATAAATCAGGTTAATTTATTTGTAAGTAATTTTAGCAGTTAACACTGCCATTCTTCATGCTTGGCTGCAGCCCATCCCCTGGGAGCACGAGGTGACACCATTGAATCCAGAGTGCGAGTCCTGCGTGGCCCACACCGGGCTGTTAATGTTTTCCAAGTAATTGCAGCCATTCCAAGTTAATGCATGATAATTAGGCAGCGTGCCTCTCGTCAGCCTCAAATGACAGCTGCATGTTGGTTAAGTGCACGGTCCCACTCGGTGTTGTCCAAAGGGCTCTTGTCTTTGGCATGGGAGTAAATCAGGAATTCTGGTGGGACATACATCTGACAGTGGTGTTTCTGCAGAGCACTGTGATTGGCAAAGCAAAGACACAGAAGGGAATTTAAAAAAACATCCCAAGGGGAAATAGAAACCATCAGCAGCAGAAAGCACAGAACTCCTGTTTTGAAGGAAATCCCTTTTTGGGAAGCGTTATGTGCTCAGTGGGGTAGTGCTCGTGTACCATTGGAGAGGGTGAGGCTTTTCACTGCTGCTGGCTTGCCTGAAGGTCACAGCCAAATAGGATCATCCATTGCTTTAAGAGGTTTATATAAGAACAGAGTTCCAGGAATTAATTGCTCTGAACTTCTCTCACTCTGAGAGGAATCTTTCCAGATCTCTGTGACTGTATGTTGAAATTAGTGTTGTTAAATGGCAAGGAGTGTGACATTGCTTAAATCAGTGTTGATGAACCTAGAGAAGAGTCCTTAGCTATGCACTCAGTGTGCTATATAATGTAGGTGAGGTGATTATTGATAATGTAAGTGAATATAAAGATTGTATTACCTTAATCTCTCAGTTTTTTAAAAATATGGCAATAGAAGATCATCACATAACTAGTGATGAAAGGTTTTTGACGTTGTCTGTTCTATGACAGAGCAACAAAGGAGTAAGTGAGGGAATGGTGTTTGTAAATTGCTGAAAAAATGTGCCTTTACAATTTGATGAGAGGGTAAGAAAGACCTTTGGGCTAAAGAGTTTGTCAGGGCCAGTTGTGTTGTTGATTAAAACAAGTAGCACAGTGGCTGAGGTCTTAATTAGGCTCAAGTATATATTGCTGGATACCTGACATGTATTAAAGATAGCCTTTACTGAAAGAAGCTTATGATCTTAATTGTTTCCAAACTCAGTACCTGCATGAGATTAACTGTAATCACATAAATAGTCCCTTGGAAACGATATGATTGCTTCTGGATTTACCATGGAATACATATTTAAGCGTTTGCAGGATTGGGTCCCCAGTGCCAGGCTGGATATAGTGAAGTCCCTTGTCATAGACCACTTCAAAAATTACTTCTGAAGAGTCACAGCCATAGCCTTGAAAGTGAGGTTTTGTTGTTCTGTAAATGTAGAACAAAACCTTTTTTAAAAAATCACGAAGATATGAAAGAAAGAAATGGCAAGAAAATACTATACTATATAAAGGTCACAGTTCTCTGAAATAATCTGTGGAGTTCTACAGTGAGTTATTTGGTTTTTTAAAAGTAAACATTCATACAATGAAGTTGTGTTTGGACAATTTGCATTCGATGTATTTGCTAACTGAGGATTAAAGGATACATTATGAACAGTGTTAAGAACACCATTGTTGTGTTCGTGGTTTTTATGTTTCCTTCAGCCGTGTGAGTGTACTGGCACACTTGAGTTCAGACTTGACCAACGTACCCTAAAAAAAAAAGCCAAGTGGGGACTTTCACTGACTTCCACTGTTATTTCTAAAGGTTCTCTGCAGGCACAACTGTGGGTGTGCTGGTTTTGCTGAAGGATTTGCGATGTCAATACACCTGCCCTCTAAATATAAATATAATCATAGGGCTGGGAGTGCTAAGCTGGCGTGCAAAACCTTTCTGTTTGACAGAAATGCCTAATCCTGCAAAACTGCATAGGTTAGGCTGATCATCAAAGAATCCATGTCTTTGGGGGAGGTTCTGCCACATTTTTCTGACAGGGAATCTCTGGATTGTCACAGTTCCATACTCCCACCGTGGCCGACTCCTCTCCACACTGTCCTTAGGCTTGCTGTCATGGGCTCATGAAGGCTCTTTACAGGCCTGCTGGCTCTTTCCAAGTAGGAATGGGAAGTGCAATTTTTGCAATTTCGTGGAGAAAACTCAGGGGGTTTTTTCCTCTTTTTCACTTTTCTAAGTATTTGATCTTTTCCAGACTACTGTAACTAAAAAAAAAAAAAAAAAAGAAAACCTGTCTAAAATGTACTTACTTATCTTCTCATCTCGATTTTTTTTTCTCTCTGAATAAAGCCTGAGAACTTACTTCTAGCTAGCAAATCAAAGGGAGCAGCAGTAAAACTGGCAGACTTTGGATTGGCTATAGAAGTCCAGGGAGAGCAGCAAGCTTGGTTTGGTAAGTAGATATTATTTTTTTTCTCACCATTTGTTCAGTGTAGCTGTTAAACCTCCTAGCTCTCACCTGGTTGTAAAACATGGGTGTAGAGCCTGGGAGGGAGATGGGTGGCTTCCCAGCAGGTGCTCAGATGAATAAGACAGTAGGTTAATACTGCTGAGTGTACCTGCCCAGTCATCAAAACATTCTCTGCCAGCTGGAGAGACCTGAAAATTTCATTCTGAAGCGCATTTGAAATGTGACTTGAAGGGAAAAAATAAGGGGGTTGAGTACCTGAGGCTGTAGACAGATACTAATTACAGAGTGCTTGTTACAGTTAACAGCTGCCCAAAGGAAAATATGGGAAAATACTGAATGCTGCTCATTTTAAACAACAGGACACGTACAAACATGGTGCACGTGTCTCACATACCACCTTCCAAACAGGTGTCGAGCACAGGATAAAATCTATTGTAAATCCCAGGTGGGAAAAAATACAGAATAAAATATTTATAGCAGCTACCTTCGAGCAGCTAGAAAGTGCAGTTTGAAATGGAACCAAGTGCTTGTGAGCTCGCTGTGAAAGGTTGGAATGGAAGCACAAAGGTTTTTGTGCAGACAGGGAGTTGGGATGTTGAGTGTTTGCAGGCAAGGCTGTAACTCCATGTAGATGGCCAGGCAGCACCGTTGGACATATGTTGGCAGCTTTATAAGCCAGCCTGTTGTTTTAAATCCCAGCCTTTATATAAATGGATTTCGGTAATCCCCAAAAGACAGAGGAGATTGCTCTTGCACATCAACAAATAGACCAGTACAAAAGGAGGGGAATGGAGACAAGACAAAACACAAGTGGTTTGTTATAATGACAGACACAGCAGGTAAACAGGAAGCACCTCAAGACAAAATCAGCAGATGGGACTTGGTAGAAAGAAACAGAATGTCTTCAAAATATATATGTAAGGAAGAGTCAGCAAGCTAATAAGAAGAAAGTAATCTAACGTGGCTCTGTTTTTTTAAAAAAAAAAAAGTGGTACTTGTTCTGTACGTTCTTTAGAACTTCCTCTGCCAAATCTTTCCATAGTGGTCGCAGTGCTTTCCTTCAGCTCTAGGACTGCATTAACAGGGCAGAACATGAACTCCAGTGCACTTGATATTTTGAACTTTTTCTGACTTTTAGAAGATTTTCCTGCTTTCTCCTGGATTCTGCAGCACTTAATGATTCATGGCATGCTCTGAGTCTAACTACAGCTCTGCATCAGTGTGTTTTACTTTGTTTCTCCTTTTATTTTTCCTTTTCTCTTTTTCTGGGTGTAGTCCCTTGGTGTGATGGTCCCTTTTCTGCTTGGGCCGTGGCTGTGCCTCAGCAGGAAACTGGCTCGAGCTCTGTGTGTTTGGATACAACAGGATTCTTTCCTGGTTTGCATGTTTGCAAAACAAACCTGTTCTTTGCCTATTTGTAGAAAGTGTTGCAGGGTTTGGTGAAACCTCCCACCCTCTTAGGAGGTGTTTGATGTACTGGGAAGGTGTGAGGCAGATGAACTCACCAAAGCAAGGACTTTGTCCTGTGCCTCTGGACGCTTATTTAAATCAAAAAATTATAGGAGTCATCAAGGTCCCTTCCAATCCAAACCATTCTATGATTTTATGTAGTAAAACCACACCAGTTATTTCTGTTTAGATCCATTCTGTATCTTCATCAAGAGATAAGTTTAGCTAGGTCCTGTATTTATTTCTGCTTTCAAGTTTATTTTCAAGTGATTTTATTTTTAGTAGTGTTCAGTGAGCTGTGGTAAGTTTTAAAGTCAAGGCAACATTATTTCCCCTTTAAAATGAGCAAAAATATTAATATAGAGCACTACACCCAAAAGGGATATGAAACAGCACTCTATTTAAAGCTACTTAGAACATCTATATTTCAGCTTCTCCAAGGAGCTTAGGATGTGTTTCCTGTGTGATAGTACTCCTTAACAATTCATAGCTCTCATATCAGGAGACTGCAAACAACAAGCTGATTTTTCATGACCATATTTTAGCTCTTTTCTCAGTAGAATATACAGAATGTGTTCCTTCATTTCCTCCTCCCACTCCAAAATAATTGCCAACTGCAGGGCAAAGGCTTCTTTTTCCTGTAGCTGTGCACTCTGCATGTTATCACTGTCTCTCATGAGTTTAGTGGAAGCCAGTGTGGTCCTTCATGAAAGCCACCAAATTCTCACCTTTCAAGTTATTCCCAAGTATTTATGTTAGGCAAAGATGCTGGAAAGAGCAGACACACTCACTGAAGTGGTGCAGCCTGTTAATGGTCATTAAGTTTTTATCCTTTGCAGTATCCTAAGAAAAGTAACATTTCTCCCTCCGTTTTGCATTGCTGCCAGGAGAAAGCAGCACTGCCTCTCATGAATAAAGGATGAGGGGTGTATAAATTTTAAAGGCTAGATTGCTTCAGAGATGCTTTCTGTAAACTTTTGGACGGAGGTTTCCAGAAGTGGAACAGCTTCACAGAAATGGTTTTTGCAGTGGAAAGATTGTATAAAGGGGATAGCGAAGGCTGAGCCCGAGTCAGTGGACTTCATCCTAAGAAACACCCTTCAGAAAGCTCAGCCTGAACATCTCTGAACATTTACTTTGCCACCATCTGGCTTTGGCTGAATTGGGTTTTCACTTCTGTGTGAAGAATTTTGAACGCTGCTGTTAATCTCTTTTTTTTTTTTTCCCTCCTAAATGATTTCTTTGCTTTTCTTAAATCTAACCCTACGTGTTGTTTACTCACAAACCTGCCCTCCCATACCACTGAGCTGAACTCTCTCAATGTTCCTTATATTTACAAACATCCCTTGATTTTTGCAGAGCACGTTCAGCTTTTGACAGTAGTTGCCTTGCCTTTTGACAGGCTTTGCTGGTACCCCGGGATACCTTTCTCCAGAAGTGTTACGAAAAGATCCTTATGGAAAACCTGTGGATATGTGGGCATGTGGTAAGAAATTACTCTGAAAGACGTGTTCAGTGCACTGTGGGGTGTTTTAAGGGTGAGAAATGACGTCCAGAATATGCTATATTCTGCATCAGAAAATCGATACTTAATAAAATTCAGTATTCACTGGATTTTATTGTTATTCTCCCAGCTTCTTTTTTAAAAAAAATTGTTTACGAAGGTGTGTTATCATGCATAATACACTTCCACAAAGGATTACAAAAATAGCTGCAGGTGTAAGGCACCTAACTAGTTAGGAAACATAACAGCTCATACTTAGTTTTACTTCACAAGCAGCCTAAGATTTGATCTGACCAATATACCACAAGTGTAGGTATAAACTGCAAACTTAAATGCTCTGTAAAGTGGAGTGCAGAGCTACTGGTGTATCATGCAGCTCTTGAAACAGTGTAGTGTGAGATAACTGCTACCAGTGGCAGCTCCCCAGCTGAGAACAGTGGCTGGCTTCCTTATTTTACTCCTACCCACACTTTTTATTTGGTTGTATTTATGAAAGCACTTTTCTTTAGCCTCAGTGAATCATCTCTGTAAGACTAGCAGGTGGTCTTTTTAATTTCCTTTTGACTTATATACAGATAAATTGCTTTGCCCAAATTTTCTTTGCATGAGATTAGTTAGAACACGATCTTGCACACACCGGTAGAAGCCATGATAAAACCAGAAGTAAAAAAGGCATTTTCTGGGACATCCAGAATCATGGAATGTTATTTCTCCATCAGTTTTTCAGTGTTCCTGATCTGATGTTGTGTCAGGTGCTCATTCTTGCCCCTGCTTTCCATCGGAGCTTACCTTGTGAACCCCACTTTTCTGTTTTCCCCAGTATGAACAGGGGCAGTATTTTCCAGTGGCTGGGATAGCACTCTTGAAGCTTTTATTTTTCATAATTTTTAGGTGCAAAATTTCTGGAGTTTGTCTCTTGAAATCCCTTAATCCTGGTCTGACTTTTCTGCAGGAGTCATTCTGTATATCCTCCTGGTGGGATACCCTCCATTCTGGGATGAAGACCAGCACAGGCTTTACCAGCAGATCAAGGCTGGTGCTTATGATGTATGTACCATGCTCTGCCTGTTCAGTTATTTATAACTGTACCTCAAAATAGGAGCTTTATAGAGTGAAAGGTGACATTAGAATATTTTTCCTGATGTTTGCATATCTTTGAGTCACACCAAATAGTAAATATCATTTTATGAACGTGAACCTTATTGGAATATGCTAATTTAAGTCTTATTTCTGCTCTTGTATTATCTTATGCTGGTGTATTGCCCACCTCTGGAAATACAAGCTGCTCTAGAGCTTTGCAAAAGGAATAGTTTCATTAAAGACAGGTACTCTGACAAAAAACATTACAGCTGTTGTTAAGTAAGAACTGATGATTTGGTGGCAGATGAATTTTACACCATCATCTATTCATATTCCATTAAACAGACAGAGTGCTGTATGTCCCCAGATTTAAGCAATTTCTGAATGATGAAGAGAAAAAGGCAGAGCCTTATAATTTTTAAGCTCTTATTCCAATCCAGTAGTGGATCCTTAGGTGAAGTTATGTAAAGATTGTACGAGATAATGCTCATTTTTTTTCCTGAAGTTCCCCTCACCAGAATGGGACACGGTGACTCCTGAAGCAAAAGACCTTATCAACAAAATGCTCACCATCAACCCAGCGAAACGTATCACAGCATCAGAAGCACTAAAGCATCCCTGGATCTGTGTAAGTAATTCCCCCAGATTTCTCAGGATCATTGGGCAGACAAAGCAGTGAAAGTGTTCCGAGGATAACTCCTGTCCTTCCTCGTGCAGCTCTGTAACTAGAAATTGTAAAATTGTGGTGACACAGATACAGTCAGTAGTGGTGTACATTGAGATCTCAGCCTGGGATAAGACTTTTGCAGAAATGAACTCCTTTGCCTTGACTTTGTGGTGCAGGAGTTCACTGCCAAAATTAGAGTGCCATTTTAAATTCTCAGTGGGGAAAAAAAAATAAAAGAAAGTGTCTTTGAGTTAGATAATGCTTTGCATCTTCTTTTCCCTGTAGTCATTCTGATAAGCATGAAATGTAAAGGCAGGAAATTAAGAGACTTCTAAAAGTCAATTTGCAGGTAGCAGAGACTGCCTGGTTGTCCCTGGATCCAGGACTGCTTTCCAGCTCTCAGTATATTCCACACTGTGACTTTTCAAGAGGACTTTACACTTAGAAAAGGCTCATAAGATGAGCACAGTTGCATAGTCAGACAAGGTAGACGTTCAAGCCAAGTTTTGGACCTTGTGGGTTGTGATATGTGAGTTGTAGAGTAATTAAACTACTGAACAGCTGGCTGGGTGCCTTAAAATAATTCTTTTCTTCTCCTCTCAGCAACGTTCTACTGTTGCCTCTATGATGCACAGACAAGAGACTGTAGATTGCTTGAAGAAATTCAATGCAAGAAGAAAACTAAAGGTAAGAATGAAAACTTCTGCTTGTGCTCCATGTGTAAAACAAATGGTCTCTAAGTACATTTTTTCTTGAATATTCTGCTTAAATGAGCTATTGATAGGTGGCCAGCTTTTAACATGAGGATCTTAAAAGCTTGTTCTTTTGGATTATCCTTTGTTTTCTGCTGGCCAGGCAGGATAACTTTGTAGATGTGAACTTCTCTAACGTGTACTTTACAAATAAACTGCTATTCCTCCCCAAAAAAAGGAACCTAAAGGTTGCTAGTAAAGTCTGTTTCATATTCAGATGTGTATTTTGCTGATAATTGCTGTGAGTACTCACGGCTTGTGCTTTACTTACTCAGAAATGGCAAATATTTGAGATTATCAAGTGGCTGATAGGTGTGTAATTAAGATTAAATGACAGTTAATGCTCTCGTGACAGGGCATGTGAGAGGTAATGCCCAGGCAATCCATTCTTTCAGGGTTAATTCAGTAATTGCTGTAATTTGCACCTGTTTTCCTTTTTGTTGTGTTGTATCACATTCAGACCTTTACACAAGTGTGATGCTAATTTGAGAAAATGTGTGTGCACACAGGGGGCCATTTTGACAACAATGCTGGCTACCAGAAATTTCTCAGGTATGTTCATTGAGCTCCAGAGTGAGCTCCAGTCTTTGTGTTTTGATGTCTGTGAAGACCCAAATCTGATTAGGATTTATCAGTACAGAAAGATCTCTGTTATTCAGGAGCATCTAAATATGATATATCTAAAGTTGTTTCCTTGGCAGAAGTGATCAAAATTAAAACTGTTTGGGCCAAAGAGATTCTCTTGTAGGTTACAGTCTGATTTTTCTGTAGAAGCTGAGCTCCTTCCCTGCTTTCTGATTGTTACCTCTCAAAATACAGTGTTTTCATGTGTGTTTTGGTGGAGGAACCTTGAAAGTTCTACCTATAGCTCCACATGCCTAAGACTCACCAAACAACATCTAAAAACTTCTTTTTATTATGTGATGTCATTCCATGATTCTGTTGCATCCTGTATTAAAAAATAAATACACATTCATTTCTTGATTGCTTTGCTAAGGAGTAAGAAACATTGTAACATGAGTTTTCCTATTCCTTCTCTTCTAGTGCCCAGCAATGCTTAGCTGGATATAAAAAGATTTGTTTCCTCTTTATAAAATAATTTTGTAGTGATGTCCTGGAGATTTAAGTCTTTATGCTAAACAAATTTTAGTAACAAAAGCTGAAACACATTTGCTGTTAGTAGAGTTAGAATTGTCCTCAATAGTAGTATTGCCAAAATCTTGATGCTATGTTGAATTTTTCATTTTGCCATTCGAGATTTCGAGTGAGTAGTGAAAAAGAACACCAGATTTAAACATCAGTAATTCTACTTATCCTCCTACTCTGTGATGTAACTGTTGGAGTGTAACATAAATTACTGTACAGACAAAAACATGGCAGTGCTTTGGGCATGTTTTGAATAATAATAAGCACTGACTCATCCAAAAAAAAATTACATAATCATGAATGCAAGAGCAACTTGTTCAATTTGCATAGTATTTGAAATACAATTTCTTTCTTAGTGAATTCCTTTATTTAATACACACCTAAGCACAGAAGATTACATTTATTTAAATTACCTTGAGTTAGTGCTTAATGAGTCGCCAGTGTCTGCCAATTCACTTTAAAGGTGGGAAGGCTGTAGGCTGCACATCTTGTAAGAATGAATTACTGTTAAATATCAAACGAATAAATCATTCCTCATCCCTTTTCATAACTGTCACTGTCTAGATGTGTGAGGGTCAAATTCAACTTCCACGAACCAAAAAAGCTGAAGTAGTTTTAAAACAGTACTTCAGCATGAAAAGCAAACAGGGTTTTTGGGATTTTTTTCATTTTATTTTTTTCACTTATCATCCCATGTTTTACACCATAATGACCCACGTTTTTTCTTGATGACACTTCTATTTTTTCAGTTTATTTATTCACTGTATTTCATTGCACAGCATGCTTTTGAAGGTCATTTGTCCATAACGATGTGGTTATAAAAGTGTTTTATTTTCCTTTTTTTTTTTCTTCTTTTTATGTGGAATGTGTATTTCTTGTGAGGTAAGACCCTCAGCACGTGAAAGGAACATCTTTTCTCTCTTCTAAATCCGAGCTGCTGTTTGTCCTCAATCACTTTAATTTCTCCATGTTGTCACAACACCACTCCCTTTCAGTCTGCTTTCTGGCCTATTAGTGCTGCCTTAGGTTTTATTTATAGCTCTTGCTTGTAGTTGCAAGAAATCTTTCATTGTGAGCTTAATTTAGAATCTGCTGATTGCTTTGCTCCCGCAAATTCTTTAAATATTTGATTTGTATGCAGTATCTGTGATTAAAGAATGATGAGTCAAAATACTATTAAAAATACATTCCAAGCCAAAAGCACCAGAGGCAGCTGAGCACGGAATATGTCCTGTAACATGGAATACTGCATAAGAATCCACCCTGGGCACACTTGGAAGGACATGCTGGCAGTGCCATACACACAATACTTCAATACTTGTTGTTATTGCTTTTGGTGCCCTGGCTTTCATTCACTTCTTTACATAGAACATGTAATGTTTGTTAAGCATTAATAAAGAACTCACAAGTGTCGTGCACAAATTTAGCAAAAGGACCTACAGCAGCCTGTAAGAATTAATTTATGTTTTCCCATATTTTTTGTGAGGGCTAAGGGTATAAAAGAGGCTTTGAAAGCAGTTAACTTCTGGCTTTTTTGGCCTTAGGTTTGAGAAATAGCTCCTCCCTTTTGCTTTCCCTAAATGAATTCCTGAAGTTAATGGAGTGCCCACAATATTTTTGGGAATGTGAAAACTAAAGCCGTGTTGCATCAGGTTCTGTAAGCACGCATTGCAACAGGGAGTGTCCTACCTCAAAAATATATAGAAAACAATTTGTTTTCAATATTTACTCACATGTTTCTGTAAATAAAAACATTCAGTGGTCCAGGCAAATTTATTTTTGTTCATTTTAGTGGTAAGTCATGGCCTTGTGGGAGTTTTAATGGTGGTATTGGCTGATGTCCATAATTATTACACTGGAGGGCTGATATATTAATGAAATTATAGAACATTAACCTGGCTTCACTTTCCAGGTTTTTTCATGTAAGCAACACAATAATGGAGATGAGTCATTTCTGGATGGTTGCTGAGGTGATCCTACATTTTCTGTGCTCTAAAATGAGCACTTAATGCAGGTGTAGCTGAAAAATAAGCCACAATTACAAGAATTAACTTCAAGTGTAAACTGAATACTCAGTATTTCAAGCCTTAGGCTTGCAAGGTCCTATAGGTTTGGGGTTTTTTTTAAAGATAAGGATGGCAGGAATGATGAGATCTCCATAGCAGGACTGTCCCTTACACACAGAACAGGAATTTCTTACAGCCTGAGCTGTAGAACACTTTCTGATGGGAAGATTGGGTCATAAACAACAATAAAACCCAAATCACGGCGGGCTCGTTGTGTAATTTATTATTCTCCAAGTCTTTGGCAGTGAGTCATGAAGCATTCACGCTTTAGTGAATAGTTTATTTGGATGTGGTAGGTCAGCCAGCGTGGATTTCTGCTGGAAACCTTTTCGGGTTCAGAGCCACGCTGTGCGTGTTTGCACGTTAGCCCTCCAAATTTAGGAATTCAGAAGGATCTGGTGCCAGTTTCAAGTGGGGGAATTGAAAGCCTGACACGTTAATAACGTTAAGGCAAATGAAATGTTGCCCATCAGACTCCACTGCTTTGAAGAGATTTGATCACCATACAACACAACTGAGAAAATAGCAAGTTTTCTTCATTAGAAGCTGAGGGAAAGCCTAGGATTTGTTATTACTGACTGCTGGGAATCAACCCTCCAAAACAAATTGTCCCTCCTTTCTTATTTGTCCTGACCTTTCACACAAGGAGACTGATGCTGTCCTGGTGGGAAATCCCCAAAGGTGGTACAGAGAGCATTGCACCTCCCCATGCTCTCTGAGCACCTTTTTGATCTCCTATTGATCACTTTTCTGTCGCTGTCATATTAATAACACCATGAAGATACTCTGCAAACCCCTGGTCCGAGTCCCTGCCATCAGGACAATATTTTTTCATAGTTGTATCAAATTATCCCGTCAGCAAATATAAATATATTGCAGTTGAAAAAATGAAAATATCCAAAGCTGCTGCTTTTACACTCACCTTGCTTCCATTTCCTCTCTGCCACCCGAGGAGCTCTCTCCTTGGATAAGTACAGTTAACCTACAGCTTTAATCGGTGGAAAAAGAGAGGTGTGGGGGTCTAAAGGATCGGTAGTTTCTTAAAGACATCCTTTCTCAGAGCAACAAAAGGAGGAAATAAAAGCTGAGCACGTGTCTGGAGCTGGGAGGCAGTGGGGGTTTGCTGGGTGAGCTCAGGGGGACCCACCTGACACTGAACTTATTTGTCTCGTTTTACAGCAGCCAAGAGTTTACTGAAAAAGCCGGACGGAGTTAAGGTAGGTTTAAAATATGTTGTAGTAGTCACCACCTGCCTGTAACTTCTGCCAGGTTTTAGAATTGATTATTGTTTCTTTCCTCCATAGAATTTGTTAGTAAGTGCTTCTCACTCTGTATATGAAGTGGTTAAAGTTAGTAGGTGAAGCTTAAGTAAAAGGAATACTTGCAAAACAAGCATTAAATAAGTGGAAGATAGAAAACTACCAGAGAAAATGCTTTTCTTGCTATTTTAATGAAGGATGTTTGTGTAATTAATGACTCAAAGTTATTAATTAGCTTATAATAACAATTTGGTGGTGGGCACATTAGCTTTGTAGGCATCAGTGTTTATCTGCAGCTCTATTGCCTCTGTGTTTCCCCTTGACTTTACATTTTGATTTCATGGAAGACCAAAAGTTTTTCGGGTAGGCTTGGCTCCACATGAGGTGTATTCTGCCAGATGTACTTGCTATATTTGGCAGAACTTGAGGGGTTTACTATCTCAACAAATCAGCTCTTCCTGACTAAGAGACCTTGCTAAGAAGGGAACATTTTGGCAGCTTTCGTACGTGATTTAGAGCTCCTATTCTCACGTCACCAGGCCCTGCAGGAGGAGAGATGCCTCACAAATGAACATTCTGGATAAATACTGGGAAAAAAAGCCAGGGAAATATAATTTATTTCTTTTCTTGGAGGATTCCTGAAGCCTGTATAAGATAATATAATGCCTCAAGCTTTCGTTATAACATTCAAAAGATATTCTTCTGTGCTCTGTGTGTTTACTCAGAAGTGTGTCTTTGAAGTGAATTTTAATTTTCTATTTAATCTTAATGTCTTATTTTAACAAAGCATTATGAATACTTGTTTAAATACCAGATTCACAGTGTATTTGTGCCTATTCTCTGACTTCTGCACACTTTTCTGGTCAAAAAAATCATGAGCCTGACCTAAAATCAAATGAGTACACCACGATTTCAGTGCTTCTCACTGCCAAACAGTAAATATCCTAGTTCCAGAGAGAAGCACACATTCAGTACTATTCTATCTCTCCTGTGGAAAACCCTTAACACATTTCCTTCTGGAATAAGTAAATTTTATCCACTCTTCTCTGACCAGCTTTTCCTTTTTAAATATCGTTCCTCCTACAGGTCCACGATGGTATTTGTTCTACCTCAATTCCAATTATAATACGGGAAACAATTGTTGCCAAAATCTTGCCTAAATTGCACTCGTTGGGATTTGATACTTTGGATTTCAGCACATGTTATGTGTCTGCTGTTTATCTGCATGGTCATGTGGAGCAGAGGGAGTAAATTTACATCTGGGGAAGTCTGTTTTTGTTGTTTCTGTGACTGAGCTACTGTAAACTCCGTAGCATTTTTCCACCCCTTCCTGCAGCTTAAGCTGTCCTTTTCTTATTTAAAAAAAAAAAAAAATCCAAAAGAGAAATATACTGTACTCCATGCATTGATACTTCAAATCCAACCAGTCACGTTTTCTTCTTTTCCTTTCTCTCTGACTGGTCAATTCAGAAAAGGAAGTCCAGTTCGAGTGTTCAGATGATGGTGAGGATCTTTATCGACAGATTTTTTTTTTTTTCCCTCCTGTGAAACGTTCACACTTTAGAAACCAAACAGTTGCATTTAGCTTTGTTAACATACTGTGAGAAACTGCAAGACTTTAAAGTACAACCCTGTCGAATTTTAAGCCTGCAGTTGCTATATGCCATCCACAGTGAATCGTTCTGCCGTTCTTTCAAGCAAGTCTTTAATTGTTTTTTAACCTGGGGACATAAGAAAACAAAAAAAGTAGATGTAACATCAGCCAATGCAGCTGTCCGTAGTAAATAAGAATAGTAACAAAATAGTAATCTTGTAACAGCCTTCTATTCGTTATTAAAACCTCTTTATTTTTAAAGCTAATAGTATTAATGTCATAGAATGTAACCACGTTGCACAGTGAAATAGTACTGCATTAATTGAGCTGCTGTAGCCCACGATGCCATGCTAAATGCTCAGGAGTAAAAAACCCAATTTCCCAGCCTTTCCATACTACAGTTTCCCAGCCAGCTTCCTTCACAGCTCAGGACCGTGTCACAGGATGTCCCCACTGACAATGGCAATAACTTTTCTTCCTCCTCAACCCACTCTCCAGTCTTGTGTTCACTTGGCCTCGGTGATGGCACACAGTAGCACAGTTTGGTGTGGGTTTGAATCTGAGCTGGGGGGTGTTCACGGCGCTGGGCTGGGCCATCAGCAGAGAGAAGGAGAATATCCCTCATCCCCACCTTTCTCTGGGAAGCACAACTCCTCGAAAAGCACAAACTGCTGGTGAGGTCTGAGCAGCCATGCAGTTTTGTAGGAAAATCACCTGTAATTTGGGTGGACACAGAATTTCAGCGGTGTCCAGAGGAGGGTCACTGGAAAGGTACAGTGTGGATGTTGCCAGGATCCCGAACCTGAACCGTGCGTTAACTTTCTGTGCCACCTGAAAGATAAAGCCCCAAGATACACGTTTTGCTTCTTAAAAATATTTTCATAACATATGACAAAAGACCACTAATGATTCCTACAGCCATGGCCAGCTGATTGGAGCGTGTGTGTGTGTCTGTCCTGCACTCTCAGACCTCGGAGAGGGGCTTTCGGTGAGCGATGCCTTAGGAAAAACTCCTTCTTCACAACCAGTAGAAGGTCACTGGTTAAGCACAAATCAGCTTTAGAATAACTGTTCCCTATGAAAATGTTTTCCTCTTTTTGGAGTGATTTCCTTTTGCTGTTAAAAATACATGTAAAATACACCCCATGTGTTCATAAATTAATATATTTGTGTTCTAGGAGAGAGAAAACGTGTAGAGCTTATTGCTGTTTTCTCTCAGAGTTTCAAAGGGTTTCACCTGTTCTGTTTACATGGACAAAATAACTGTATTTTGAACCACATTATCTCTCTCTGCTGTTACTAATGAATGCTGGATTCTCGATATCTTGCTGAAGAAGTTTTGAATGTGTTTCCTGCAGCTCTCAGCAGTAGCTGCAATGGATATTGTTTATTTTTATAGGGCTTTCACCCAGGGAGTATGGACCCAAGCCTGCTCTCCTTACTCAGGCAAAATTGGAGTTGAAATTTGATTAACCTGTTTCCATTATGTATTCAACAATGAACATTCATTTGGCACATCACTCTCGTTTTTGTATTAAGCTGCTACTGTGTAGGACTGTATGAAATCTGGTGAAATCTTCATTTCTTTCCACGTGTTTTTTCTTTATGCCTTTTGTTAGGACCTTTTTATTCGTAGTCTCTCTGACTACACTGTTATAAAAATATGAATCTGTAGTTATATAATTTGATATGTGATTTTTCTCTTGTTTGGAAGGTTTAGTTTGCTGTCGAGCGGCGTCGTTTGTATTCTCACTCTTCCACAGTTCTGCAGAACTTTCTTTTACTGACATGGATGGGATGTTTTTAAAGTTTTTTCCTGAGTAAGGAGTTCAGGTTCTGCCCATCTCAGAATCCCACAGATATTAAAGCAAGGAAAATACTTGCCAATAATTATGTCTCCCCATGAAAGACTTTCTGCACAAAGGTATTTCTTCTCTCCCTGTCTTGACTTCAGACACCTCTTCAGCTTAGGGCTGCAATTGTGAATAGATAAATGAAATTTATTTGACAATAACAAGACCAAGTTGGGGCATAAGCACTCTGAACTCAATAATAACTCCTAGTTTCTCTTAATGACAATTTCTGTGGAAAGACCATTGTTTAAAGTAAGTGTTTCTCATCCTCCTGCTGTAGAGCATCGTGAACTTTGATTTTAAATCAAAGGAAATTATTTTTATGCCATATGGGAGAACGGTTCCTATCACAAGTATTATCAAATACCATTTAGTGTCGACATAATATTCCCTGATTAACTAACCAAACTACTTTATATTCTTCAAAGCCTGTAAAATGCTGGGTAAGATCAGGAAATTTGCAGTGTGTAATTAATTACTGCAAATCCTGTTGACATTGCCATAATCTAGACATATCCTAAGGAAGAGTCACTTCAGCTGCAACCTTAATTCCTGCAATCCACAAGTCAGCTGCCACGCCTGGCCCAAAGTAAAATAATCATCCAAACCTGCAGAAGTTCCATGAATTTTCATTTCTTTCGCTTCCGTGAACTTAATTACATTTCTAGAAAGATCCATTGAAAAAACTATTTCAGCCTTTTTTTTCCTTTGTTTTGCACATTTATTGCTCAGTACTGTGACTGGAAGGTTCAGTAGAGCCTTTTTTTTTTTGTTTGGATCAAAGTCTTTCCAGACTATATATATATATATATATCTTTACACCCAGCTCTGCATGCTGCTTTGGATTGCCCTTGTTAAAATTAGATGTGACCAAAATATAAGTAATATTTTTTCCTAATTATTGTTAGAGGAAAAAAATTACATCTTTCAAAACCATTTTATTATACTTGACTGTTGCTTCTTAGTGCATGTCAAAAGTGGCTGGGTACATTGTTTTCAGTATTGCTGTTCTTCCCATGCCATGGTATTAATGACAGCTAAATCTTAAAAAATGGATTTAAAGAATCAGATACCTTTAAACTTACTGCTAAGTGGCTTAATTTCAATTCATATTTTGTATAGATAAAAGCCAGAAGTCTTGTAAAGGTGTAGTACTGTGCTAAGCTTAAGAAGTACCATGAACTGATTGGTGGAGTAAAACTGCAGGTAGTATAGTGTGAAACCTTGCACTTCCAGGTTATAGTACCAAAATTGAAGGGCTGATCACACTGCCAATTATTTTTGTCGAGAATAACACCAAAAAAGCTAAAGGGGCACCAGTCTTTTTCTGGTATCAGAAAGATCATATTTATTCAGCTATGGAATCAGAAGCCAGTAGGACAAAATAGATTCCTGGAGAGCTATGAATAATGAAATAATCAAATATTATTTATGGCAGCAATAATTAATTAGAGATACAGAACTACAGGGTGCAATTGCTTAATACTGTTGCATGTCACGAAATGGCTATTTAGGACTTTCTTCAGACCCGTATTAATTCTTTATTCTTCTTACATGTGATTAGCTGCTACTTAAGGGCTCTCTGTTCTGCTAAGTGTCACTGAAGTCATCTGTACCTTATATAGACCTTGGTGGAGTGGCTCTGCAGGGCCGTGGGGAGGAGCTGCCAGCCAGCTCCCGGAGCTATTGTTAGTGCTCCTGCCAGTTCACAAGTTCATCTTTCTGTGATTCTTTATTTCCATATCTATATCTGTCCATAGATATCTATATCTGCCTATAGATGTTCTATACAGAGAGATATAGATAGGGTGCCTCCTGCCAGTTCTAAGGCCTGTGTTTCTATTTTCTGCATACCTACAGATAAACAACAAAACCAACGTGGTAACCAGCCCCAAGGAAAATATTCCTACCCCGGCGCTGGTATACCTGGAATTTTCCTTCTCATGCTATCTTGAAGTTTTTGACTGTCTTCCGTTTGTTATTCCTTCTTTTTTTGTCTTTTTTTTTTTTTAATTTCCCCCCTGCTTTTTCATGCATTTACTCTGTTTGCTTTCTAAAAACAGGTTTTGGAAAACCTTTTTTGTTTGAATTACGCTGTCTTATTTTTTGTGAGGAAGTCCATTAGAGCGTGTTTACTGACAGACAATGTTAAATGGAAGCTGAATGCGGTAGAGTCGTGGTGTTTGTAGCTGAATTTTTTTGCATGCTGTGCCAGAAAGCGAGTAGAATGCGCTTGATGTTGCTCTTAGCTCTTTGCCTGATGACTGTTTCCACCTTTTGATGTTAACCTTTTTCACCCCCAAAAAAATTCTGGAAAAAAAGCAGCTCTGTTATTTTCTCTGCTGTCTTAGCACAAGTACTGATATCCAGGAGAGCTAACAGGATTATTGCTAGGCTGCCATAAAACAGACCTTATTCAGATTTTCATTCTGTATTTCCCACAGCTCTGCAGGACTTTGCAAGTCTTCTCTGGGATCAAGAGGCACCTAGAGCTAAACAGTTTTGCTTGTTTCTCTTCCATTTAAATCAACAGGAGGCATTACTCATTAATAAGCTCTGTTAGGGACATATTTCTAATCAAAGTGATGTTCATGAATGTTTATTGAAGTCTTGCTTTTATTAGTAGCCCTTTTTCTCAGGCATCTCTGTGTCACAGGGCTCACAAATGGAAATGTGGTGTATTATTTCCCATATGCATATATAACCTTGAAAGTGGGGGTGATTCACACCCATTTGGAGAGATGTTTCCTCTGGAATTTTTTGGAGCAGCTGGCACTGACTCATACACTAAGTAATTCCCAAGGACCAGCTAGCAGGTTTCATCCAGGAGTGGATGGCACTCTGTTCCTAGACGGAGCCCTGCCCAATAGCCCATGCTGAAAGCGTGCTGGCTGCCTGCCATTTCAAAGATTATTCAATCTTTTTTCAAGGCAAAAGGATTTGGGGAAATTACACTTTAAAATGACACGAAGATCTCTCTCGCTTGTTTTTATTGCTGCTCTGCCAAGGCAGCAATTGGTGGTAATTTGCTCCTTCCAAAACACGGGAGTGTTTAACCGTAGTTAACTTATTCTTAATCCTTGTCACTTCATCTGTATTTTGATTTGATCCCTTAATACTAATACAAGCAAACATGATTAAAGGAAAGGGGTGATTTGTGGCTGCCCTGCCCGGCCTGGCTGAGGCAGGAGAGCACAGGAAGCATTTTGCCTGCCCTGGTGCAGAAGAGCCTCTGCAGGTCTCCAGAGCTTCAAAGCCCTGCACGCATCAGTCCTGAATAAGGTCTCTGCATGCTGCTGCATTAGGTGAGATGGCCTTTTTTGCTGGCTTGCTGTTGAGGAAATCTGTGTTAGAGACATCCAGTTTCACCCTCTGGCGACAGTTAATGTTTGTTTTAACTCTTGTCAGTGTTCAGCATTTGTGAGCTGGCTCTTCTTGCACTCCCTCACACCGATGAAAATGTATTTACCAATGGGAACTCTTTCTCTCTTTATTTTGTTCTCGCTCAGGAGCCCCAAACTACAGTAATCCACAACCCTGATGGAAATAAGGTATTCAGAAAGTATCAACTCCATCTTGCTTTTCCACACCACACATTCCATCCACCACTATTCCACAGCTAAACAGGGCCGTTCCAGGAATTTCCGGAGGGAAAAAAAATCTCATTCCTGCGTTTGTTGCACGTGGTGTGTCTCGAGCCTGTTTCCCTCCGTGTCCATGTGCTGGGTGCTGAGCTCCTGGAGCTCTCGGGGCAGTCGGTAGCGGTTGGCAGAGCCCAGTGCCCCGCTGTGCTCCGAGCCTGCTGAGATGGTCCTGACGAGTTGGACGTGCAGTTGTCACCTCAGACAAAGATGTCACTGCAGTTTATCCCACCTGCTGTTTCTCAGCATGCTCACACACCGTGTGTCCTGTGCCGTGATGTGTCTTTTTGCACAGGACTTGGGTTCTCTTCCGTAACATCACTGAGCAGTTTCAAAACAATTCTCACATTTCAAGTGCCAAAGAGGTCTTTTGATTTTCACGGCGTTTCCTTCGTGCTCCTTTCGTTTTCTTGTGTATTGTGATGTTTGCGTCTGGCAGCTGATCCCTAAAACCGTGTTTTGTTTTGTTTTTTTCATGCATGGACTTGAAAAGGGCCAGGAAATGCCATCATTTACATATAACACATGTTCCTAGGTTTCCCGGAAGGAATTTACTCTTCAACAAGAATTTCCCTGTTTGCAGTGTTGACTTAAAGAATTGCCATCTCATTTATCTAGTCTTAGCTCCCTGTGGTTATTTCATAAGAGAAGGATTGGATCTGAGTGACAGAATAACGCATGCAGACGTTCCTCAAGCATGGAAGTGCCGATGGTGTGCATTGTGCTCGTGTATCCCGTTCCTTTATGTCCCCTGCATCTGTCCCACACAGAACTTCTGGGTTTGTGTCACTACTTTTTCAGCTCCCCGAGTTTAAACTCATAGGCAACGAGCAGCCTGTGTTTGAACACCGGGCTGATCTTTCTGACTGAAGTCCACTAAAGCCCAGGAAACCCAGATAAAATATTGGCATGACTACATCTACTTGATTTTATTATGTAATCTTAGCAATTAAGATACTCAATGTCCCGAAAGGTCACAGCAAACAAATGAAACCACTCAATGCAGAGTTCCTCCCAAATTTGTCTGAAAGGCTGATCCTTGTAGTATGGCAACTGGAGTGGATGCTTCAGTATTAGAGGCTACATCTGCCCTGTGAGCTTTGCATGGTGTTTACAACTTGTATTTGTGTGGGGTTTTTGTTCACTCCTAAGTACTTTATCTAATATTTTAAGTGACGGAGCATGATACATCCGTGTAGAGTGAAGTGTCTAACACAGCCAGGGCAGGGACAGCATGGTGACTCCTTCAGTTTTGTTTGTGTGTGAATTAATTCCTGTAGTTTTATTTATGAATGCACATATGTTTTGGTTTTTTTAAGGTCTGAGTAATGCATTAGCCTTTTGAACATTCCTTTGGCTCAGCCTTGTGAGGACACAGTAAATGAAGGGCACTGACAAATTTGCCTTTTATTGCTTAATTATAAAATCCTTTAAAGGGTTAAATACAATATCAGTCTTATCTACTTTCTCTGATAAAAAAGCAGATCAGTTAATCCTTTTTGTTATTGAGCTGTGAACTTAAAAAAATATAATTCATATTCTACTTCTCAAGAAAGTATACAGATTAAAAGAAAAAAAATCAAGCTTAAAAACTTTCCAGCTCTCTGAAGCTGTTAGATTTGACAGTGTCCTGTTGAATTTGTCCATAATATTTCATGTTTCTGGTAATTCATGAAAGACTGAGATACGATATCCTTGCCTTTTTAACAGTGTGATGGCTTAAGAATAAACTGTCTGGTAGATGAGTCATTCCTCTACATGTCTGATTGAAGAACACTGCTACAGAGAAGCCTTAGTTTGTCAAAGTTATTATCAGATATTTACCCATTCTCCATCTTCTTCTTCAAAAAAAAAAATTATAACAACAGCAGTATAAAGATGAGAGAATCTGATCCAATATGCCTTAAATCACCATGAGGCTTCATTTTAATATCCATTGCATAAGTCACATGAGCAGAAAATCGGTTGTAAATTGTAGCAGGCAGCACTCTGCATATTTAAAAGGTGGAATTGGAATGGAATGACTTATTTTGCACAGTTGGTTTATCACTAAGCTTAAAATGGCAAGCTCTCCTACTTGGCTGAGGTAATTCATGTGACATTTCAGATGGACTTTGTACAGTTGGATGTTAAAGGAAAGAAAGTTTCCTCTACATTCCTGTGAAGTAAAAGCATCAGAGGGCAGGAAATGTGTTTCTGTTCCCTACTGTAGAGAATGGCAATGTGGGCCATCCCTTTCAGGTGGAAATGTCTTAATCAGTGTGTGCCCATTTGTTTGTGAATGACATCCCACCCTGCTTCGAGGCTTTGCATGATTCCTGTAACTAATCCTGCCCTTTTCCGAGGCACGCAAATAAGGCTTGGCTTGTTTGATACATTCTACTCATATTTACTTCTCAACAGGAATCAACAGAGAGTTCCAACACAACCATCGAAGATGAGGATGTGAAAGGTAGGATTTTAAGCTTGGAACATTTGGAGAAGCAGTAACATGAGTTTTGTAAATGTATTTCAGTAGGTCATTAACCACAGAAACCCCTAATGAATCCTTTGAGAGAATACTGGTTTTCCTTCTTTAAAAGAAATTCCTTTTGATATGTTTCAGACTTCGACTTTTCAGTTCCCAAAACACCGTTTTCCATTGTGTTTAGGTTAAGAATATAAAGTTACTGCTTTTTAACTAAGATACTAGTTCCAGTAATAATAGCACTAGAGTAAAAATGTGGAAGTGAGTGCTTTGTAACTCTCAGTTTAACATGCATTTGTGTTTTGGGTTTTGCTTTCTTTTTTTTTCTTTATGTCACCATTTTCATTTTTATTCTGTTCAGATGCCAGTGTATTTTTGTGGTTTTATTTTGTTCTGTCCATACACTTATTTTAATCTTCTTCCATTCTTTAAAAAACTAAAATAATTTTTTTATATCAACTTAGTTTTGTAACTTCACAGTTAATATTTTTGTTTCCATTTTTTCCTCCCTTTAGATGTTATGCTGTGATGTTACTCGTACCTACTTTAATAACATTATGTTTTAAAACAAAAGGGTTTGGAAAAGAAAATATTAGGTTTGTGTACCTCTGATTCACAGTAAAGATTGGGTTTTGGCCTCAAGGAACCATGTGATACGTACAGGTGAGAATGGAAACAGGAGAATGGATGCAACCTAGTGATGGTGGTTCAAGTTAATGTGAAATGAGAGAACAATTACAGGGAACTACAGCTGATGCCTAGGAAAATGCAGTGTAATTTACCTTTATTCATAGCACTTTGTATTTCTCCCTTCAAACCACTATATAGAGTTTTAGCAACCAAGCTCATTAAATGAATAATTTAATTATAGGGCCTCTGCGTGGTGATATAAGGTGGTGTTATTACAGTAGGGTTTTTAGACAATCCTGTCTGAAGCTCAGCACACAGAGTTGTATCTCAGGGATGCAGTTATAAAAAAGCCAACAATGACCATAATTTGCCTGATTCTGCAGAATCACAGCCAAGAGCAGCTTGCATGACCACAATATACAGTGTTCCCAACCCAGCAGAGAGGAGCTGGCAGTAATCACAGGTGTGAGGAACAAGACCCTGGTGGGGTCTTTCCCTGTGCACTCACTGTACAGGGATTTCATTTTCCGTTGGTTTAAAGGGCAAATATAATCTCCCTGTTATTAATTGTTTGGAAGCTTGCTTGTTTTTCACTTTTTAGTATTCCTCTCACACTTCCCGTCTTTCCACTGGAGGCTGCTGTTCAGATTGTTTTATTATAAATAAAAGCTAACAGTGCCCCCAGGGTCTAATTTGTAGAATGATTCAGGGAATAGGCAGTCCTGCAACCCTGACAGCTATTATAAGCTCAAGATGCATGCTTTAGCAAGACACTTAGGAAAGATTATTTCCTCCCCACACACCAAACTTGATTTCTGGATGTAGATTTTCTAGGAGTACAGTGAGGAAGCTGTGCTCTTGGCAGGAGCAGCCACTGGAGATAAAATACTGATAGGGACAAGTGGATTTCAGAGGTAGGAGAGAGAAGTCTCCCGGATTACTGACTGTCCATGTCCTCTCATGTGTGCTCAAGATGATGTCTGTACCCCATTTGAGACCTTGAAGGAATGTTTTCCACCTTAGGTGATAAAGACCCTCAAAAATCATTTTGCTTCTTTTTGCAGCGTGGAGAACAACATGGGAAGAGGGTGCCCTTCCCACGAAGGAGAGAGGGGGAATGGGGCTGCCCCTCTGTGAGTGAAGAGCAGTATTAGCCTGTTTTGTAGAGCTGCAATATGATCCACAGCTCGCAGGGAATGACTCTGCAAAGGCATGGGATCTGTGCCCTGTGTTCCTCCTCCCGTTATCCAAAAACCGTCCGTAGGCTGCGCAAACAGGTACAGGGTTCCTCCCTGTGTACAGCCCCCCAGCCCACACACCCTGAGAACACTCAGCTCTGCAGCAAGTGCTTTTCTTCCTCTTCTTTATTGGTTGGACTCTTTAAAGCAGCGTGGATTGTAGGGCTGTGTGGGATATGTCATCCCCAGCACGGCTGTGGGGCGTGTGCCCTGTGGGAGTGTGTGCACACACGGGTCTGTGCAGAGTACGAGATGATTCACTAGGAAAGGGAGCAATTAAAACTGTCTTTTATCAGCTGTCACCAATGTGGCTCTAGGAACAGATTCTGAACTCCTATCTGTCAAGGAATGCATGCAGCATTCTCCTCTCATGTCAGGATCTCACCCTATTTTCACTTTTAAAAGCAGGTATTTAACTTAGAGACGGTAAAGTCAGGCTCGCTTTGCATTTTTTATTTGCTGAAAATCTTAGTATCTGTAACTTTGCCTTGCTTATGTATACGTTTACATCTTTTAGGACTGGAACGTATTTCTTTTGCTAGAAACAGTGTTCAGCAAACAACAGTGAGCTTTAATAATTCAAGGAATAAGCTAATTCCGTCATTTGAGTCTGAAATGACTTGAAGCTGCGGTTCAGGTTCCTTGCTAACACAAGTTCCTGACATTAACCATTGATCATTGGCTTGTCTGCATGACAGTGATTCCTCCTAAATATGACAGGAGTGGACAGAAAGAACATGCTGAGAATTGGACCATAGGCAATGCCTCCTTCTGGAATTGCTTGTGGGATTTCTCCTTGCTGTAGTAATGAGACTGGAACTATTGAGCAGCATCTCTGTGATATGAGATTGATTTTTTTTTTTTTGAGAAATGCTGTAGAATACCACTGTTATTTTTGTCTAGCAATGCCCACAGGCTTTCAGAAAGGTGAGTTGCTAAATTTATCGTGGACAGCAGATCTGGATTTCTCATGGTATCTTTTTGCCCCTGGAAATTAATTAATGAAAACATTAGTAAGAAAGATGACTTCCAATGGGAAAATTTGTGGAGTTGTGGAGATTAGGTAAATTGTTGCTAATTTTGCTACTCGATACATCTATAAGGTACATTGTTTCAAAATGTTTCATATATCCTAATTTCATTTTATCCCTGTTGGTTGTTTTATTTAACAGTAGAAAGAAACCAATTTAAACTATTTATTTTTGAACATACATTCCTGAAAAAACCATTCAAATTGCTAAGAAAAGCTCTTTCAAAGCCCTGTATATCTCAGTACTGGATACAAGGGTAAATCTGCGCTGGCATCTGAACAGAGTCACTCGTACCCACGACCTTTACAACTGTTCTTTGGCACCCACACTGCCCCCTGAAAGTACATCATTAACATTGTTTGTGTGCTCAAAGATATTCGAAGTTCTTGTTGCTTGTAATTAAATTATCGTTATTTTTCTTCTGGCCTTCTTTTTTTTCTTCCTTCACATGTACTTGACCCTCACACAGCTCTCACAAAGGAGGGGGACATGGAGAGGTTGAGTTCCACCCACCACTCCTCCTCTTCCATTGCTTCTTCATCCCACTGGTCACCACCCTTGCCGTGCCCCAGCGGCCGCTCCTGCTGCCAGTGCCTGCTGCGGAGTCTGATCACACTCTACCTCTTCATCTTTGTTTGTTCATATGTTGTGTTTCTTTCCATCAATTCAGCGGGCAAGTCCATGAGAAATGCAAACTCAGAGAGTCAATCGCTCGAGTCTGAGCTCTCCCACTCCACTCCTTCCTCTGTGCTATGTAAGTTGAGAGACTCGGCTGTTCAGATGGTCTCCTTTGCCTCTCTTCCTCCTCCCTCCCCACCATCTGAGAGCAGCAGATCACTGCTGTGATCTGTCTCATCTAGGAATGACCTGTTCTTAGGGTGCACAAAAGAACAGAGTGTATTTCTTTAAATATCTATTTTTTGGCGAGGTGTTAATTGTGAAAATATTATCAGGATAAATAGGTCTGTCTTTCCGCAAGCTGTACCTTGCAGAGCTGATCTTTCCAGTGGTTTTCAGCTTAGAGAGAGATTTGACTCTCCCCTCTGGCTTGGATCCTGGATAGGTTCTCAGGAGTAATTACCTGTGGTGTTTATTATATCATCGAGTTGCTTTCTTGAGCATCCCCGGTGGTAAAGCATCGTTCAAGCTGCTGTGACAGCTGTTAGCGTGGAGCGTTGGTAGCACGCTGGGAGGTGTCACGCTCTGCTCAGGGGGAGATCTGGGATGATTAGTGACCAACTAACTGGGGAGGAAATCTCTAGTGTGGGCAGGCTTTGTCTGAGCAGTGAAAATAGGAGAGGCAAAAGGCATCGTGTTAGTGGCTGGTAGGACATAAAAGACCCGAGTAGATCATTTCTTGTTTATAAATTAACTCCGAAATTCTTTAGAGGGGGAGGGACCTTGTGGGTTGAAACATGAGCTGTGTGCCATTGGCCTGAACCTTATTTTAAATCTGAGTGGAATTTTGGGTGGGTACAGCTGGTGCAGGTGAGGGGATGGGCTGCTTCCAGTCACAACAGTTGCCAGGTAATGCTGGAAGAGAGGTTTCATTCCAAGGGAGGAGCTGGATAGTCTCTATCAGTATATGGATGACCATATATAAATTGGAGCTCCTAATACCAACAGTGCAAACTGCTCAGAGCCTTAAAAAAGAGAGGAATTAATAGGAGAGACAAGGACCTGTGTAACACTGAGAGCTGATACAGCCATAAGGCATTTATTCCATCCACAGGAATATCCCCAGAATATCTCTTATGTGCCCAGCATTTTCAGGCCTGAATGCTGGCAGCATCACATTTCCCGCTTCACTGGGTAGGTAATAGTGCAAGGATGGCTTTTAATATTTAAAGATAGATGTTCATTAGTAATCTCATTACCAAATTTAGGAACAGTGGCACTATTTTTTTAAAAGGTAATGCAATTTTCCTGAGCAAAATAGGCAAACGCTGCATTTCTTAGAATTATTATTTGGGGATTATTGTTACTATTAACACATCTCAGTGCTTTTTAAGCCTTATTTAAAAGGAAGGGGATGCAGAATTGAGGGTTGTTATTGATTTTCACACTAGTGGACAACAAGATTTCT